CTAAGCAAGCAAGCATTTTGCCACTGAGCTGCATCCTCAGCCCTTTAAGTTATATTCATGTTTCTATAATAGTAGTTACTTTTGCAGAATGATAATCCTGTGAAAAACATAGAAGCCTCTTCAAGCCTCAGCACTTGTATTCAGTCATACCCAAATTAAGAAAGCATCTCAGTTATCATTAAAGTATGGAAATTGTATGGATAATTATTTTGGAAAATAACGAGATACTTATTAGGTTGACAGAGATTAGTGGCATAAGGCCTAATTAAGTTATAGGTATAAAGAAATGATCTCGTGAACGGTTGAGGAATTTTTAATCAATACATAAGTGTGCCAGAAGCAGCTTAGAAATATAATTGAATAAATGCATATTACTCAGCAAGTTCATTTCTGAGAATTAGCATTAAGGAAATACTGTAAGTGTGCAATTATACGATAGCACGTTGTACTATATGCCTAAAAGCGTGGGAATAGTCTCCATGCCCATAATTAGAGTGTTGGCTAAACAGTATCTGTCATATCTAAACACTGGTCTTCTTTGAAACCATTTCAAAGCAAAAGGTGCATCATTATATGTGACAGTGGGGAAGATCCGTGGAATGCTACGAAGTGAAGAAAGAGCACCACATGGCTACTTTGTCCATAATATGAATAGCATCATATTATACACAGGATAAAAATATATGCCTTCAGCATTTAGGAAGACGTCATAGTAATAGGGACCATTGCATGGGAATGAGATTATAACATTCCCCCCCCCCAAGCTTGATTTTTTTTTTGTCAGTTATTTTTGTGTGTTTATTCTGTAATTATTCTACATTTCTTCTATCATACATTGACTCCTGGGGCAATATATATTAATATAGTATGTTCTGATTTGTAGGTAGTTGCTTAACGAATTCCTTTTGGGGTTGTTATATGTGCCAGTCATACTTATTTGTAAGCTTTAGGGATTACGCAGACAGAATCCTTCCTTCCTTAGGCAGTACTAAACTTTTGAATCCTTTAACAGTATGCTACAGATCGGGTAGCTTATAAACAACAGACGTTTATTTATTACAGTTTTGAAAAATATGAGGACCTAGGAAGACTGCAGACAGGCTTCTGGGAGATTCTGTGTCTGGTGAGGGCCCACTTTCAGGTTCATAAATGACACTGCAGGGTGAAGGAGCAAGACACCTCTCTGTCCACATCACGCTAGCCTAGCACAATGCCCTAATACTGTCACATTGGTGACGTAAGTTTCCATGAAGGATTTAAGAAGTAGTTCAAAGATGTGATTTTTTTTTTTTTTTTTTTATGAATGACTTTGCATTCATACATATTTTGGTCTTGTAAGACTATTGAAGACTAGTCCAGTGTTTGGGGAAAGGAACTTTGTTGTTGAATACATTGAAACTACTCAGAATTTCGGATGAAAATATCTCACTAGGAACTCTTCAAGTGATGTAAAATTGTTTCAGAAATGTCTGTGCATTAAAAATTATAAACTGTTGGCAGTATTTTAAGTATTAAAGTTTCTTATATATTAACGTTTTTTCAGAAATGGTTTGCAAATTTTCCTCCTATGAGTATAGGATTAGCAATTGATAAAATACCTGTTTTTTTTTTCACTACTTTTTAGCACTGACAGTGTAACATGCACCTGAATTTTTAGTGTGCTGAAAAAAAAAATACAGTTGGTAAGAAAAGAGGATTTTCTAAAATACTAGATGCTTAGTTCGTGAGTCATATATACTTTATTGTAGGCAGTATGTATACTCTGCATTTTCTAACAGTTGTTTGCTATTTCAGCTAACTAAATGATGCATTATTTTTTTTTCTGAGACCCATTTAGGTGTATGTACTACTATAATTTTGGTCAACATTTTAATAGCATTGTACAGGTCTTACACATTTTTCACTTGTGTATTAGTGAAACAGTAAACACTTCGAATTGTTATCTTAAAAAAAAAAAAATTAAATGAGGCACCCATTCCTCAGTGGATGGGCATCGGGGCTGTTTCCAAGTTTTAGCTGTGACAAATTGCACTGCTAGGGCTGGGGAGATGGCTCCGTAGAATAAGTGCTGCCCTGGCAAGCACAAGGGCCTGAGTTCAATCCCTGGTTCCGCCAAAAAAAAAAAAAAAGTATTTAGCCATAAAATATGTTATTTTTTGTCTTACAGAATATATCCAGAATAACCTAAGTCAGTATAGTAAATTTCTGGATTATGTAATCATTTAGTGTTTACTCAGGCACAGATTATTTAAAAGTAAGATTTATTTTAACTTGCCTTTCTTAAATGACTTCTCAGGTCATAACTGAGTAAAAGACAGCTAATAAAAAGTGCCATTAAAGGCATAATTACTTTATAAAATGCCATTGATGTTACTATTATAGTTCGTGCTTGGTTATGCCCAACTAACCCTGATAGAGCTACCATTTCCGGTTTATAATTCAAAGAAATTGAATTCAAAGAAATTAACTCCCTGTATTTTTATACCCTAATTGGACGAAGCAAAACTCTGCTTGTTTCTCTCCCCATCCTATTTGTTTTTGTGTTCTGTTCAATTTGTTGATGATTTCTGACAATTCATTTATTTCTCAAATATCTCTGGAAAAGATACATACATTTCTTCTTGTTATTTTGATTTTTTTATTTTAAAGAGAAAATATTTTCAAAATAAGGATGGTAACAATGGTTAATACAACACATGTTATATTTAACTTACTCAGAATATAAATATTAGTAGTTAGTTGTCTAAATAGTATGAGCATAAACCTTTCATTTTAGTGAACTAAGATAAATTAATATAACTATCTTAAGTGTCGTATTTCTTTTTCCTTTTCCCTTCTTCCCTGTATTTCCCCATCTCAGTTTCCCTTTCCTTTTAAAGTCCTTCCCCATTTTACAATATCTGTTACTACTCTTTCAGCTTCTCACACTAGGAAGACAATATGGTAATTACACATGTGTATCTGGTTTATTTCAGTTATGAGTAGGGTCTCAAATTGTATCTATTTACCTATAAACATCTCCAGTTTATCCTTCCTTTTGGCTCAGTAGTACTCCATTATAAAAAAAAAAAAGACCACATCTTTTTTTTTCCATTCCTCGGATGATGGGCATTTGGGATGCTTCCAAGATCTAGCTATTAGAAATTGTGCTGTTATAAACATGAGTGCACCTATGCCATTGTGGTTTGTTGTTGTTAGTACTTCTGAGAAGATACCCAGAAAGGGAATAGCTAGGATAAATGGGACGCCAGTCCTAACGTTTTGAGGCTTCTCTGCACTGATTTCCACAGTGGCTGCATGTATCTACACTCTCCCCAAGAGTGGAGAAGGGCTCTTTACCCCCACAGCTGCTCTAGCATTTGTCATTGGTTGATTTCTCAATACTAGCCCTTCTTACTGGGGTGAGTTGTTGTTTTAAATCGCATCTTTTGAATGACCAGTGATGTTGAACATGTTTTCACCTATGTATTTGCCGTTGTATTTTTCTTCTGAGAAGTATGTATTCATCGCAAATGGCCATTTTTGGATTGGATCTTTAAATTTGGGAGGTCTGAGTTTTTTGAGTTCTTTCTTTGTTCTCCATAGTGATCCTTTGTTTGAGAACCAGCTGGCAAACACTTTTTCCCACTTTGTGAGTTGTCTTTTTCACTCTGGTGGTGGTTTCTCTTGTTGTGCAAAAGCTTTTTAGTAAGATGAGATTCCAGTCATTGGTACGTGGTAATAGTTTCTCTGCAATCCGGATTTTATTCTTAGTTTCGGCCCAAGTTTTTTGACTTATGGATCCTAGCACGATGAAAGGTAAAAAGGAGGGGAGGGAGAGATACAGAGACTGAGAGAAAGGGATGAAGGGAGCACAAGAGACTGAACGTGGGGAGAGAGGAAAGTCATTTCATTTTAGAAATAGCACCAACATGTTGTAATTACAAGAAGGACACTGTACAAAAATATAAACCTTTAAAATTGCTAGCTCTCTACTCTGATACTCTGCCTTACTTTAGAGTAACTAAAATGATTAAGCCATTTTGCTTGTCTATGACCATTCTTAAATTAATTCTGCACTAATGGAAAAAAATAGCAAATTATTAGCCTATTTTGTTTTTATTAATACTTGTTTGGAAAGCAGATTCTTTATAGGAAGTGGATGCATGTACTCAACATTAGTGATTCTTTTTCTTCCCCTTCCACTCCCTATTTTTATTACTGTTAATATCCTTGTTATTTTCGTTCATGTTGGTGGCATGCAGAGATTATACTCATTGAGAGTAGTTGGCACCTAGACATGACACATGGAAATCTCCCCACCCTCAGACCAGGTCCCCTTCATTTGCAGAGGATTCACCTCCCTGTTCCCTTTCATCGCTTTATTTTGCTCTTTACTTGTTCTTTGGATTATTCAAATAATCCTACTTCATCTACAAGCTAAATGAAAGGAAACCAAGGACTTTGAAATGTGTTAAATTCCAGTTATTGCGTATTATAGAAATTTTAAAAGTCTGTCTTTAGGGACTCTCATTGCCTGGGAATATCTCCCTACCTGAATCTCTGATGATGATTTAAATCTTTACGTATAAAGAAGCATCAAATTCAGGCTGGTTTATTCATTCAGTAAGATCACGGACTGCTGGAGTTTTTTCTTCTTTCTGTCCACTGTATCTACAATACAAGTTTTTCTGTCTGCTGTATGCATATTTTTAACATGCATATTAAGACTTAACGTCAATTTGTATGTTTATCCTGTTACTTTCTACATATTCATATTTTATTATATTTAAGATCTTTCTTGAATTTGATGCCTTCTACATGGGGAGTGGTGGCCTTCTAATTTTAAGTGATTTTTCAGTGAAAAAATCCATTTGCTTGTACAACTCTTTTTTTTTCCTCCCAGAGTCATATTATTTTGAAATGGTTTTTTAATTATAGACATAAGTATTTATTATGAAATATCTTTTATGGTTTTTTTTTCTTCTGACAACCAGTGTGTTGCGGTTTAATTCCAATAGGCAACTGAAGAGGACGCTTCCAGTTCTCTAGTAAGAGAACACCTTTTCCATCATGAGACAGTTGTTACCAGTGACCCTTATAGAAGCGCAACTATAAGACCAACGCCCTTTGAAGATCTGAATGCCAGAAGAGTTTATTTGCAAAGCCAAGCCAATCAGGTGAGAAAGTAAATATTTTTCAGCATGCATAGCGGATGTGTAGACATCCAGTGTATTGGCAAAAGACATGGACCATCTGTCCTTCTCTAGATAAAATACCACCAACAAAAACACAGGAAAATCAGAAGAATATGACTTACAATGAAGCAGATTCACAGTGTGACAGTAAACATTTACTATAAAGTCATAGGAATGTAATAAGCCTTAAATTTACCTTTAAATTTTTTGTTGGCCAAGGTAAAACTGAATAATGTGCTCAGCGAAAATTTCATTATCTAGAAGTGAAAAAGCATTCCAGCCTCTTGGGAAACAAAAGTTTCTCTTTGTAAGAGATGAGAGAGCTCAGCAGTCTACGCGCCTACCTGGCAAGCGCAAAGACCCAGTTTGATCCCTGGTACAGCATGCCATGCCTGCCCCAGGATCCTGGGCATGCCGTGCCGCCCTAGAACTGGGTGTGGTGGCACATACCTGCAATCCCAGCACTGGGGAGGCTGAGACAGGAGGATTACTACAAGTCCGAGCTGTGTACCAAAAACCCTGTACCAAATAGGTAAATAAAAATTCAAAATAGCAAGAGACTTCTTTAAAAAAACAAACAAAAAAAGTACATGCACACACACACACAGGAATTTCTCAGATCAAAGAAACTGCTTAAAAATTCTCCACTAACAGATCTGTGGCAAAGTCACTAAAAAAAAAAAAAAAAATGAAGTTGCCTCTTACAGTTTACCTAAAAAATTACAAATGTATTCTTACATTATTCAAGAAAAGCATTCCCATCAGGTATCGCATATCCAACTTTCTGATGGCTCCAGTCAGAAGAATCTAAAAATGAAAAGTTGGCTGTAGGACATAATCCTGTTTGGTGCATTTCAAAGGTGTTAAGAAAATACCAGAAGCCGGGGCTGGAGAGATGGCTCAGTGGTCTAAAGCACCTACTTAGAACAAGCTTGGCAAAGCATTGGGGACCGCGGTTCAATCCCCCAGCACCACATGCCAGCCAGCCCGCCCCCTGGTGGGCTGAGCTGGCCACACACACATCTCTCTCTCTCTCTCTCTCTCTCTCTCTCTCTCTCTCTCTCTCTCTCTCAAATAAATAAAAAAAAATTTTTTAAAAAAAAAGAAAATACCAGAAGCCTATTCTTGACCACGCTTCCCTCAGTGATTTAAATGAATGTGTTGTTTATTTTGTTTCTTTTTTTTCAAGTAAGCATTTGTCACTATTCCTGTGGGAACTCAGATATAGTTTAGTATGTGTGCTGCTGGAGTGAGCATTCACATGCAGTTTAATACGTAGTGACTTAGCTACAAGAGTAAAAGAGTGACCATTTCTTTCTTCCCCCTCCTTCTCCCTTTTCTCTCTATCCCTTACTCCCCTCCTTTGATCCTCCTGACTCAGCCTCCCAGAGTGCTGGGATTATAGGCATGAACCACCAAACTTGGCTGCTTGGTGTTTTTATTTTGTTCATACTAGGGATTGAACCCAGGGCCTGGTGTAGGTGAGGCAAGTGTTATACCACTGAGTCACATTCCTAGCTCTCCTACACTTTGGTTTTTGAAAAACAGGGTCTTGGTTTCCCACTCTGCCCTCACACTTGTAACCTTTCTGCCTTAGCACTCCCAAGTAGAGAATATTACAGGTGTGCAACAATACACTGGGCCATAAAGCATGTTTTTAAAGGTATTTTTTTTAATGTTTCCTTTATTTATGTATTTGGTACAGTCTCACTACACAGCTCAGACTCTTGGTAGTCCTCCTGTTTTCAGCCTCCCCAGCACTGGGATTACAGAAGTGCATGCCCGGTTTCAGTGGCCATCACAGCATGCCTGAGGGTTCCGGGTCCAGCACGGCATGTGGTGCCAGAGATTGAACCCCGGCCCCTGTGCTTGCCAGACAGGCACTTAGACTGCCCAGCTATCTGCCTAGCCCTTAAAAGTATTTTTGAATACCTACATTCTTGATATTCATAAGGTACACAGTTGACCCTTGAACAGTGTGGATATTGGGCATTTGCTCACACATAGTAAAAAATTAGTATATAATGCTTCTGTTTGTTTTCTTTAGGTTAAGTTTGGTTTTGCTTTCTTGAGACATGGTCTCGTTATGTCACCCAAGCTAGTCTTCGATCTCCAGGCTCAAGTGATTCTGTTGCTCAGCCCGTCAGGCAGCTATAACCATGGGCTTCATGTCATTCGGCTTTTCTTAGAAATGTTTATTAACACGTGCTTGCCGTGTGTTGATGGCTTTAGCGTGTAAGCTGTGAGCTTTTGTTACAAATTAAAAATGAGGTTCTTAAAATTTTCATTTTGACCACATATGACATAGATAAACTTTAAAAGCTGCATGGAGAAAAAAATGGGCTTTTCTTTTTAAAAGCATGTCTGTCATTACCAAAAAGAAACATCTTTTGGTGAAAGTAAAGCCTTCATGCCGTGTAAGCAGTGCAGCTATTTGTAATTCAGCGTTCAGTAGCAAGACATGAGCACTAAAGGTCTTCAGCTTCAAGGCTCTGTTCACTTTTCACTTGAAATCTCATGCTCCTTTCTCTTTGGCATGCCTGCCTGAGGACAGTGGGACAGAAAGTCAACGTGTGTTCAGTCCTGCCTGCTCGGCACCGGGCTGGTCACTACAGCTGGTCTTGGTTGCTTTTGTCTGCCTTCTTGTAGACGTTTTCTGGCACCTGCATCAGTAATTGAAATTTGGGCAGTAAAAACCAGTGAGGTTGCTGGCAGTCTTGGGTTTCATCCTGATTTCCTGTTTCTCTTCATTGCATCCTCTCCAGTGCTGCCTCGGTAAGGAGTGCACATGTGCAGTCGTGGGCCAGGCATAGCCTCGACGCGGGCACGCGCTGGTCTCCTTCGTGCTCTTGCACTCTGGTTGTCAGTACCCTCTCAGTCCTCCTGCACAGGAGGTTTGGAATACTGTGGTCAGGGCCTGGACATCTCCACATGTAGTAAGGCGGAACTTCTGCCCCTGGCAGGGATTGCCATCGTGTAGCCTGACTTTAGGAGCATCTGCCAATCCCTTCTGTTCCCCTCTGCCTCTCTTATGATAATTCTGCTAGTAATTACATGCAGGACCGCTGCAGTGTAGTAGGATCTGTATTGGTTATGGTCTGCTGAGTGTTTACCACCTTGAAGTGGCACCCCACCACAGCCTGAACATTGTGTCTGCTCCCTTTTCTTCAACAATACATCTACTCTACGCTCCTATACTCTCTGCTCCTGCACTGCCAGGGTACTTCCTGGGATTTTGTGTGTGTGTGTGTTTGTCAGGGATTGAACTGGGGACTTTGTGTTTGCCAGGCAGGCATTTATGCCACTGAGCTGTCTCCCTGGGGAGACCACATTTCTTAATTAAACAACTTTACAGTCCCCCAAGTCCACATTGCTATAACTTTCTTGTCCCCATGAATATTGCATTGCCACTAGAGGTGCTGGCCTGGGGCATGGTGCCAAGGACACTGAGGGCAGGTGGCTGGTGGGCTGCTAGGTCATCGCCTTACTCCTCATGGTTACAGTGACTGCAGCTGTAGCACCTGGACTCTGATGTTACGAGGCCGATGGCCAGGGTGGGCTGCTCAGAAATCTCTCTTAAGGCCCACTCTGCCTCCTACATCTAGTGATTTTCCCAGAATTTAATAGCATGCTGTTGGCCAGAAAGTCTTACCTGTAACGTAGTCAATCAACACATCCCTTTTTACTGAGGATGTGCTATTTGCTGTGGGTGAACATTGTCACACCATTTTAAGCAGGTATTTACAAGCTGTGAAGGGGTAGTCACTAAATCACTACAGGGTGCAGGATGTATTGCAGTTGTTTTATACAGTAATGCTTTGTCTTAGTCATTTTTCTCATTGCTGGGATACAGTACACAGCACCCACAAGTTAAAAGAGGAGGTTTACTTTTGTTTTTGTTATAGTCCATGGATGGACAGCTGCAAGGCAGAAGTGTCATGGAAAAAGGGCCTGCCTCGGAGAAGTGCTTGCACCCTAACAGCCAGGAAGCAGAGGGAGAGAAGGGCAGTGTCTGGGAGGGTGTGGTGTGCTTCCAGGTCCTGCTTCCAGCGACCCATTTCTGACCAGACCCTGCCTCTAATAACAAGCCATCTGTATGCCCACACGAGTCAGTTGCCTTCCAAGAGCCCTGCCTATGCATGCTTACCTACTGAGAGAGATCCTTAGTTGCAACCACAAGATTCAGTGCTGCATTTACACTGAATATGGTGTCGTGATTATAATTGTTTCTATTTGTATATTTTATCTATTTATGACCTCCCTTTTTCTTACTTTTAAACATATTTTTAGGCTAAACAATTCACTTGTTCTTAAAAAGGAAAATTCCACATATAAGTGCACCTGCGTAATTCAAGTTCACATTGTTCAGAAGTCAGCTCTCAGTGTCTGGGGCCGAAAGCCCAGCCGATGCTTGTCTAATGATTCTCTTTTTTCCCTGAGGAACACAAACATGCAATTTGTTAGGAAAAAAGTTTGCATAAGCCCAAATAAATTAAAGACATGATAAAATATTTAGTTAACAAATTATTACCATTAATTATTTTATGCCATATGTATAGAGCATATGTCATACTCAAGGCTTAAAGTTGAAAGATACAAGGGAAAATAAGCCATCATTTCCGTTCCAAAGAAGTTTTCGGTGGCGTTGTAGGTGTGTGTTCATGGAGCTATTGAAATCCAGAATACGAATATTGAACTTAGGCCAGAAGATGACAGTTGTTTTTGGAGGTATGCCTGAACTTCATAAGGGTAAGACAGATTATTAGCGAACTGAAGGGGATTGGGCTGGCTGTGGGAAACGACATAGGAAAAGAAGACAAGAACATCTTAGCTTTGGCTACCATGCAAACTATGAACTGCATTTCTCAACCAGAAGGAAGACTTTCCTCCTGCTATGGGTGCTGAGAGGTCACAGTGTCAGCCCAAGTGGTTCTGAGGGGAGGTCCCTTCTGGGCTTGCCAACTCCTGCCCTCCTGCTCTGT